GTCGAATTTGTCGGCGAGCACGTCTCGCAGGTCGCCAAGTTGGTGCCTATGCCAGGCCGCCAGTTTGCACCTGGGCCAGGCCGCCAGGTCACGCCTGGGCCAGGCCACCAAGTCGCACCTGGGCTAGGCCGCCAGGTCGGCGCCTATGCCAGGCCGCCAAGTGGGACACCATCAACTTGGCTAAGGCAAGTTGTTGCCTAAGTGGTTCCCGGTGTCACCTAGTTGTTCCGAGGTGCCATGTGTCACAATATCATTGGAGGGCCAAATCCGCCCTCATCATTTGCCCCCCACTCCCGAAGTAACTCGGCGAAGGGAGTATATTGCTCCTTTTGGCCTGAAATGACTAATTTGATGAGCTCGTAAGCGTCGATTCAATTCCTTAGGCTCTGGGAGCGACTCGCAGTCCACTCTCCTTACCCTTGATTTTGTCCATGCCAAAGAGGCGATTGGGTCTTATGTGGTGCCAAAGTCTTTGCCAGTTTGACACTTTAGCCCTTGGGCTCTGGGAGCGACTCGTAGTCCACTCTCCTTGATCTTTGATTTTGCCCATGCCGAAGAGGCGACTGGGTCTTATGTGGTGCCGAGGTCTTTTATTAGCTCGGCACCTTAGAGCTATGGCTGCGCTGCATCGGCATCGTTAGTGACGTCGGTTACCTACTCCTAAAAGAAGCTACTAGGAGCTCGACCTATGGGGGCAGCACTACTGACTTTAGGTCATCAGCTCGCACGGGAGCCTTGGAAGGCTCGACCGACTGGGGCGTCCATGTAGTTTGTTGGCCACCTACTCTCGCGGAAGCCACGAAGAGCTCATCTTTGTAGAGAGTACCTCGCGAAGAGGACTGATGAGGCCTTATCCGAGTTGAAATAAAGTTGGTAGAGTTGCTTAGTTTGTTGGCCATCAACTTTCTGCATAGTCTTTGAGTTCATAAAAAATGGAAACTATAAAGTGAGAGCTTTTAATTTCTAAAAGGTGAGAACTTAGCTTTCTGGAAGAAGAGGACTTAGCCTTTCGGAGGATGAGAACTTAGCTTTTTGTAGCGTTTCCCATAGATGACGCCAATTGATGAATCAATTTTTGGTGATGTATCAATTTTTTGGTTAAGTACCTCGTCATTTGGTCTGCTTCCGAGTGGCCGATGACTCAGAGGCCGAAGTTAACTTCTGCTGGATGAGGACCTGGATGTCGAGCTGACCAGGCCGAGCTGGGGGCAGATTAGGTGCCAAGTTAACTAGGCCGAGTTGGGCAGGTTAAGTGTCGAACTGGCTGGACCGAGCTAGACAGGTTAGGTGACGAGCTGACTGGGTCGAGTTAGGCAGGTTAGGTGACGAGCTGCCTGGTGGCGAGCTGGATTGATTGTTGAGGTTCATAGTTCTTTAGAGACCTGCAAGGAATCAATGTCAGAGGACCCGGGGTGGCTAACCCAGCGAGGTCACTCCGATGCTTAAGTCAGTACTCTCATAGTAGACTGCGAGCTAAAACTCACAAAGTATGAGAGCTAGAATATGCTTACTTGTCCCCCTATGCCATTGGGGTTGGTGCCTTTATATAGGCATAGTTTGGCGTGGGCTTCACGCACTGCATCCGAGATTTCCGAGAAGTCGTCTAAGTGGTCCGAGATTCCTTAAGGTAACCGCCATGCACGTTGACCACCCTCCGGATCGTTCGGCACGTGGGCCAACTTCCAAGGATCGTGGGAGTGTTTAGATATGCATGTTGAATTTGTCGGCGAGAACGTCTCACAGGTCGCCAGGTTGGCGCCTATGCCAGGCCGCCAAGTCGGTGCCTGTGCCAGGTTGTCAGGTCACGCCTGGGCCAGGCCGCCAGTTCACACCTGGGCCAGGCCGCCAGGTCGCGCCTGGACTAGGCCGCCATGTGGGACACCATCAACTTGACTTAGGCAAGTTATTGCCTAAGTGGTTCCGGGTTTCACCTACTTGTTCCGAGGTGCCACGTGTCACAATATCATTGGAGGGCCAAATCCACCCTCATCAGTAGATACTTTCCTTCGACTTCCTGAACCACCATTGATTCAAGAGGAGAGTATGGTGATTCTGCTGAATAATTGTTGAAAATGAAAATGCCAATACCAGTCATCAAAACACAATTTATCTTCAATATAATAGTGAGAAAATGAAAATACAAGAGAATCTAAAAACGCAAAAAAGCAAGTGCACAAAATAGGGGAAGAAGTTATTTTTTACTTTCAGGTAGTACGAGAGGGTCTTCACAGAAGAGGTTCGTTGTTCTCTGACCAGCACTGGGTTCACAGAAGAGGTTCGTCGTTCTCTCTAATCTCTGTTGTGTATATTTCAAGACTTCAACGCAGACAGAAGAGGTTCGTTGTTCTCTCACCATTCGGAGGCTTAAACGCTGACACTCAGACGTTTCGATCGGACTCCTCAGATCTTAGAAGGCTGCTAATGGATCGGACTCCTCAAATGGCTGTTGGTGGATGTTTCGAACTCAGAGCGCCAGGCCAGTGGAAGAGAGTAAACTCCTCTCCTATTTCCCTCGATGAAAAGAGGGCGTGATTTTTTACTTCGAAAAAATCGATGTAGTTTTCCACCGGTAGATCGATGTAAATCATCCGATGTTTGCAAATTTCCATCAACAATAGAAGTATTTTTACACTGTTTCCAATCACATAGAATTCTGGACCGGAGTGTAATAATGCACTGAACCGGCATTTACACTCGTTCCAAACGCAACCTAATGTGCGGCTGAAACATGATATTAAATAAAGCACAGTAAACTCCCAAACTGCACAGCCGGGGATGTTTCTCCCGAACAGCCAACGTTTTTTCAATGGACATAAGATGGGGATAACCGGATAAAGGACATGGTGCAAGTGAAACCCACCATCCATAACATGAAGATCTTGCAGACTTGCAAGTTTTGATCCAATGCCTTTACTGTTAGAAGGGAGGGGATGACAAGGCAGTTGGGTTAAGGAAAGATGCCTAGAAAGTCAGAATACATTACCTATCAAACTTACAAATAATGTTTTACAATAGGGAAAAATCTATGATACGGGAAGAGTTTTGATCAACCAAAGCACTCCATAAATTGTGATTAATACCACATGATTGGTCACCTTTTTATTGATTGGCTGTAAGAATTTTCTCATATCATGTCTTTTCGGTATTATAGTCAACCCTATATAAACCATCTAGTGGTTCAATTGATAAGCTCTCTTGCAGCAGAAACTTGAGATCAAATTCAACTGTCACCAGGGTTAGGGTTGCCCTCTACCCGTTGTGAATTGCAACTACACATCTTTAGGAAATCCTGTTGCTGGGGGTGTTATGTATTTGGGGATGGCCAGACGGGTTTTGGATAGAAAATCTTCAGTGGGCTTTTTGGGCATTTGATGATTTTCATGGGTCGATCAATTTGAAATGTCCATTAAATCAATGGAAAAAAAGGCTAGGTATTATACCAAAAGAATTTAACCAATGGAAGAATAATGTAAAAACTATAATGCATTCCACTTCAGAATTCTAAATTCCATCCCAAATTTACAACAATTCAAAATTTTAAAGGAAGAATGACGGTTTAACCCAGGGTCAGAATTTTTATGCCCAAAGTACTGTTGGGATAGGTGTCAGCTGGGAATTGATGCCAATTTAAGGGTGGGCATCCATGCATAGAGTGGGGGTATTTAACATTTTGAATGTTTATAGATATGTAGTGGGATTCAAAAATCTGCAATGGGCCTGTCTGTACTTTTCCAAAATTTTAAGGGATATATAGACTGCAATCCACCTCAAAAATCTGAATTGCAGCCCCCTCCTAGTCTACTAGTAGCCCCCCTATAAACCATATCCTGCCCGTGAATTTAGCATCAATCCACGAGCAGTATTCAGTCCACCCCTAAAAATCTTAACTTAACTCCACCCTAGAGATGGACCGAATTATAAAACCCCCAAATTTTAAAAACCTCTACTTATAACATCAATACTCACCCATATATTGATATCAATTATGAGATAGCACCTACCCCAACCGTAAGATGGAGCTAAGATTTGTTAGGATGGACCGATCAATAAAAACCCCAAGAATAATCCGAGTAGGGCCAAACGCAAAAGCAAGGTGCACGTGAGCCCCACTGGTCATGCCATGGAGTGCCGGGCTTGAACCCGCCCCTCCACTTTGGGAGAGAAACTGAGTGACTATCTCAACTGCAGGGGTGGATCATCCTGTACATATATGTTGGGAGTAGACCTATTCATGGGCCGGGTTGGGCTGGGCTTTCACTCTATATTAATAGATTTTTTTAAGGCCCGAGCCCGGCCCGACCATCGGGCCTACAACTTGGGCCCGAGCCCGGTCCTCATAAAAAGCCCGAAGCTCAGGCTTGGGCCCAAGCCCGAAATTTAGCCCATACTGTTACTATTACTACTGCTGAAGCGACTGAATAGAGAGAGAGAGAAATTATAAAGAAAAAAATAAATAAATATATATTAAATTATAAATATATATTTTAATAAATATTATATTATTTATATATTTTATATAATATATAAAATACATATATATTTTATAAAATATATAATGCTAAGTCGGGTCGGGCTGGGCTTTTTTGACAAATCCTGAGCCCGGCCCGAAACATAGTCGGGCTTATTGTGTTAGGCCCGAGGTCAGACCCACGGGCCTAATTACATGACCAAGCCCGACCAGGGTGTGGGCCGGGCCGGACCATCGGGCTACCCGGCCCATGAACAGGTCTAGTTGGGAGTGGACAGTGGCGCCCCACTGAGCGCGCTCCATTAGCGCCCTACGTATACATCTCAGCGTGCATTGAGAGCATCTCCTGAATTAATCATTGGAAGATGCTCCTGATACACGGTTAACGTGGGGCTGGAATTTCACCACGGCTCGGAGGATAGTATCGGTATGTCATGGACTCATGGGATTGGACCGTGTCAGGTGTCACCCATCGGATCTCGTTAACTTGAATCTTATCTAATCACGCAGCTTTCTTGTTAGGCTACACCTTAATTTCTGTTTATCCGACATCCATCGCAGGTACTTTACTGGTTAGCTATATCACCTCGCCCCAAAGCGCTCCCTTGTCCCTTCCCGGTATCTGCCTCGCTGGTTTTATCGGAAAATCCCTGTCGAAGCTTCGTTAGCAAATGGCGACCATATTGAACACGGTTTCTTCAATTAGATTAGCCAACGCTAAGGTCCACAGTCTTCCAACCAGTAGGCTTGCCGCACCGATTTCTGTTCCATTCTCGTACTCAAGTGAGTTCTGTCGAGACTTGAGTGTTTTTCCCCCATTTGGGGTAGAGCTTGTTGAATAGGATCCATTTCTGCGACTTTTGAATCTCTCTTCTTCCTCTTGCTGAGTAGAAAATACGAATAATTTTCTCAGGAAAGAGACTAATAGTAAGAGCAGCAGAAACTGAAGCCAACGAAGGTTCTTTGTACTTCTACTTCTCTTTTCTGTTCATTTTACCTTTTCCGTTATTCATTTTTCCTATTTTTGTTTTAATTTCGTACTCGAATTTCACTTCATATCCCTCCACGGGATTCAAGTTTTGATGTTTCGGTGTGACAGCAGCAAAACCTCAAGCACCCAATAAAGCGCCTGCGGCCAATGGTTCGAATTTGAACCAGCTCCTTGGCATCAAGGGAGCAGCTCAAGAAACAGTGAGTTTTCTGTTTCTTTCCCTGCATTTATTTATGGTCTAAAATTCACCGGGATTCATAATTTAGTTGTCGCAAGAACAAATCGCTCTAAGTAATTAAATGGTGCATTACTGAACTAAGGATGATTTTGATATCTCCAAGGAAAAAAAGCGGAGGCCCTGGGAATCATAGGCGAAGAATGCTAAATGTGATACTGAGAAAAGAATTTATAATGATTTTCAGAAAAGAAATCAATATTTTATAAATATTGTGTTAGGCCTTAGGCGTCCCATGCTGGTATTAAGAATCCACATTGTGTGAAATCATTTTATTTCTTAAAATTTGAAAGCATTAATTTCATAATCTAAATGAAGCCATTAAAAGGATGGTCATAATTCATACAGATTGTGATGTCATTATCTTGGGGTCGTTTGCTTGGTGTAATGGTAAAATCTAATGCTGACAAGAGTGAGAATGCGGGTTTCAGTTTGAGAGTTGCCACTTAGTGCAAAAAAAATCCCGAGGTTAGGTCCTCATCCAGCTACCCTTCTCAAGACTCTGGATAGCTGGGTCATGGCTTTTTAAGCCGTTATGCTAATAAATCCAGGTGACATAATGAATTTCTGCATTAAAATGCTAATAAAAACTGAAATGAATTGATTCGCCCATGTGGTATTCAAATGCAAATTAAGACAGTGTATGGAATGGCTGCATTGTTTCCATTGTGTTTGTACCCAAAGTCCAGCTACGCACCACATAGGTGTTTTGGATTTACCTTCCAGAAGTCCTGTTTGGTTTGGTTGGGCAAGATCAAGTACAAGTGTTTGTACTACCATTTCCATAGTATTATGTGCATAGAGGTGTTAGGGGAAGCTTCGAAAAATTGTTTCCCCAAACAGGGGTGCTTCCATTTTGGGTGTCCTATGTGGTGCCTAATGGAGCCCGGTTTCATCTACGTGTTCAAAACAATAATAAATTATTATGATTGTATCATGTGCCCAAAAAGCTCAATCTCCTGAAATCCAATGCAAAAAATCAAGTACAAAGACCGAAACTAGAAACACAGCCATGCCAAGCATCAACTAAGTTCCTCAGGAATGTGTCTCTGAAATATTCTACTTTAATGCTATATTGCTTGTGAAATGCATCAACCTTTCCTTGTTCTTGCAAAATTAGCTTATAATACTACTTGTGATTGTGACGGGAGGTTAGGCTGAAATTTGATTTTACCGTTCTTAATGTGCAGAATAAATGGAAGATCCGTCTTCAACTCACAAAGCCTGTGACTTGGCCTCCATTGATTTGGGGGGTTGTCTGTGGAGCTGCTGCCTCTGGTATCCTCCTATCTTGTGAAATGAGTAGCCTATAAGTCTGAAGTCTTTCCCCACATTTGTTGGTGCTCTGGTATTATAGGAAGGGAATGTCTTGTACCTCTTTTCTTAGACACAAAAAATTGGTCCTTTGACATGTCGCACATAACAGTCACAATGTGTCACAACCTGTTACTAAATGGGCCTACCTAGGAGATCTGCTGGAGCAAAATTTAAGTTGATTCATTTAGGTTCCTTTCTGGCTCTAGAATTTTTCTGGAACATTATGAGATTCCTCTTCTTTTATTTTTTGAGAATGAGGTAAGGGTAATGATAAAAATTAGGATGCATAATGAGAAAATGTATTATGTACAGCCCATACATAAAAGCCCTATCCAGGCACAAGACAATCACTATTTAGCCATACAAAAATTTCTGTTATTAGCACTGCTTATCTAGTGAAATGCAAGATATGGAAACTTTTTTATTTTCAGTGGAAGGTAAAGTAATTCATTAATATCAAAAGCCAAAATACAAAGAAGCCTCTGTACAATGAGAAGCTGTACAGCAGGAAAACAGTTATCCACAGATTTCCAACCCTCCAAAAGACCAAAAAAAGACTACAGATTCCTTACAAATAGGAAATCTGAGTAAAAAAAGGGAGACATATGCCTATTTTTGAATAATTGGTGAGTTGCTAACCAAGAATGTGTCATCCCCATAATTCTGTTAAAAACTTCTTCTTTTGGAGTTTGTCTTCCTTCAAATAGCCTGTTATTTCTTTCACACCATACTGCCCAAAAAAACTGCTGCAGGAAGGATACTCCATGCTACCTTTCCAGCCCTGGAAACTTTGAAGAAGTGAATTCTATCTTGTACATAAACATTCTTCTTGGGTGTGAAGTCATTCAGGGCATAGGCTTACTTAGAATCCTTTCAGATAATATGGCTGATACTTGATTGTTGGCCACCAAAATCTAGGCAATATTGAGAAGGCAATAAAGCTATTTGCATTGTCATGGATTTCCTGCCATATGCCTAATAACAAATTATGGATCTAATGTTATTGATCACTTGCTTATTCTTTTCGGAAGTCTAACTGGATCTGGGAGTTGCTCAATGTCCAATACATGTTACAACTGTCAATAACTTGCGATAGAGGAAGGTTCCAGAGAGCCATTGGATATCTGAATCAGACTAACCCTCTCTCTCTTTGATTTGAACTGTCTTTTAAGGTCCCTCATTTTTTCGTTTGTTCATTGGACCTAGTTTCCATTCTTTATCACCAGGCCAGCTTTCCTCCAGGCTAACTATTAGATTGTTGACCATGATGGAGTAGCTTTCCATCTCAATTGTTTGTCTTATTGCTAGTCTTCTAGCCTTCTGTCTTACCGTGTGCTTAGCCATCCTTGATCTCAGTATGGGCATACCTGTTATCTTGAGTAGTTAAACTTGCCATTAAGGGTTAAACCTTCTATTGTCCTTGAAAGGGGATTTCATTGTTTTCCATTATTTACTTTAGTAAAATCTACTAGTCTCAAATGATACTGATGATCACTAATAACTAGTCTTGGATGCCCATATATGTCTCTTAAGACTTAGACCAATAGATCTCCCTTTTTAAAGGTTAACTCAATATTTGACAAACTTGTTTCTTTTAGTATTTCAGATAAAGGTTTTTCCTACCAGGCATTCAAATGTTTATAGAATGTGCAACATTGACTTCCTTTTTTCTATAAAATATTCTGCAACCATTTTTCTGTAGGTGAAATCCATTATATTTATTACCTTTGTTACTTTCCTGAAATTTTGTATGCTTTTGTCAAATGTCAACTTCATTTATTTTTAAAGAAAATAAGGGCTTATAGGTGAAAAGCTTCATGCGTCTGAGGGGTTTTCTGTTTTTGTTTTGGTGAGAGTTTCTTGATGTTTATTTGCTTGTTATGCTAGGATAAATCTCCACCACTATGCACATTTTCTTTTTTGATAGATACCGCTATGCACATTCTTTGATGTGAACTTGTATCTTTTACAGAAGTAGCCATTACAGAACCAGAAGAGATGGAGACTTACAAGGTTATACCTAGGGCACAACCTTGTTCCTTCAAAGAAATCCATTTTATTTGGCTGTAGATAAAAGAAGCTACCCTAAAGCAATAATAGTGCTTATACAATGGCGATCAGAGTTTGGAAATGAAAGAATGATAGAATGAGAAGAAACATTGGAGAAGAAGTGAGAAGAGATGGGAAAACAGGGATAGGTCACTTGACATTCTATTTCCTTCTTAACAAATGATCATACTGCCCCTGTTACAGTATGACCAGATATTATTAATATAGACCCAGTTACATCACCAACACTTCCCGTTAAGCTGGTACATTGATGTCACACATGCCTAGCTTGTTGAATTCTGCAATAAGTTGTGATTTCTCTATAGCCTTTTTGAGAGTGTCAACACATTTGTAACTTGTTTTTAAAAATGGTAAATGAATCTTCTTAGACAAAGTGATCTATTACAAATGTTATTCAGTCACTGTTTATTCATTGTGTTTACACCACCAAGGTTTGATCTTACTTCTTGAAGGATATTCACTGGCAAGGATGTCACCCTTCTTCTGTCATTGACCTCTTGAGGGGATGATGGGTTGAGGTACCAGTGACAGTTATTTGGGCCACTTGGCTTGAGAGAAAAGGGTAGGTTTTTTGAACAGAAAAAGAACCTGGTAGAAGCTACAATCAACCTCTGTTTTAGTTTAATCAGGGACTGGTTTTTGATTAGAAGGATTTGTATTGGGGACTTCATCAATATTTTTTGCCTATAGATTTCTTTGGCCATTCTCAAGGGGTTTAATGTATAGAATTTCTTTGTACTTGGGATGTTCATAATTATATTGATACTTAATACAATACAATACCCTACCTTTTTTCAAAAGGGGGGGGGGGGTTAGAAGAGCTAGGGGCAGACTGAAAAGGACTTGCATGGTTAAGCACACTTGATCAATGTTTTAAAACGCAAAGGCCTGACGTGAGGTGTTCTACTATTTGGAGGCATGAGGTATAGTCCAGAATATAAGAGGCGTAAGCCTCTTTTAGAGGAGCGGGATGAGAAGGAAGGAGGAGGGGGAGGAGGAAGCCTCCTTCCCTTGCCTTCCCATTTCTTTTCTTTCTTTCTTTTTCTTTCCCTTCCCTTTCTTTTCTTTTTTCTGTCTTTTTGTATGTGGTGTGCGTGAGGTGCATGAGGCATATACCTCTAGCACACCTCATGCAAAATGCATATGCCTCTTGCACCTGAAGTGTTCACCTCAGAGGCATAAACATCCTCTAGCATACGCCTCAGGGAATTTTGGGGGCGCCTTGCTTGGAAGCGCACCTCCAGGTGTACGCCTCCCACACCTTTTAAAACACTGCCCATAATTTGAACAGATGCATAATAGCAAGGGATTTCTCCCCCAATGGAGGTGAGCTATTTCCTGGCACAGCTGATAGAATTGGGCAATATTCTTTTTCTGTGTGAATGTCTCTGCACTTGCATCCTATATCTCCTTCGCTGTTTTAAGGAACAAGAAATTTTTACTATTGTGTCGAACCATTGAATGTGATAGACAAGACATCACCATAGAATTCTGAGTCCCACCTCTCGTACATGGGATCATCTCCATTGGGTTCTTTTATTTTTCCATTGATGTATTCCTGCTTACATTTGCTAGTAATATATAATCTTGCAGATTGCGATCACTCTAAATAAGTTCATCTGATTGAATATTGAAGTGTGGGACTTTGGAATTGATGGTACCGTCCTTGGTTTCAATAGTACTACTGTCTCCTAACATGATGAGACACAATCAGACTTCAACTGTATGCAGGCACACTTCCTGGACAACTCCTGGATGTAACAACCTACACTAGATTTTTCCAGAATCAGCACATGAACATGACAAATTTGGAAGACTGAGTAAAACTCATATCTAGGAGAATAGAACCCAAGAATAGTCACAGCCATGATAACCATAGACATATAGGAGCAGCCACAATCAAGATGGAATTTTAGAGCTAGGTAATAAATATGATCTAGAAAACAGGCCTTCATAGTGTCAAATCTCAACAATCTGGATGATCCACAAATGTGAAACAACATAAAATCTAAGAGTTATCTTTAATACTGACTCCTTATTTCAGCTCCATCGACAGAAACTCAATTTTGATTTTTCTGATTTGTATTTTCTAAAAAAACTAGAAATTAATACTCTACCTTCTTCAATAAATCCTGGAAAGTTCATCAGTAGTAACTAGTATCCACAAATGATCAGCTACCAGAATCTGGAAGAATTCCAATTCCTACAATTGGTTTCTGTACAGTGATGACATCATCGAGGTACCATGATGACTGAGTGGTAAGCTGAACTCAGTGAAAGAAAGGAGGCTCTGATATGAAGTGTTGATCAGAGCTTAGCAGTGAAAAAAATGATAGAATGAGGAGAAAGATTAGAGAAGAAGAGGAAACTGGGGAAAACAGGGATGGGCTACTTGGCAGCTGATTCCTTTCTTTTGTTCATTATAAGATAAACAATAACATAATCACATAATAAAAAAAAAAAAGAAAAACAATAACATGATCACACTGCCCTTACTACAGGTATATACATATTACTAATGTTGCCCCAATTACATCACTGGCACTGATTCTATTTCTTTTAGTGCATATCAGAATTCAACAACCTTAAGCTGACTTATGTCGACCATCAAATAACTACTGATAAATATGTAAACCTTTTTTTGACCAGCAAATAAGACTTTTATGAATAACAGAGAAATATTAAATTACAATAGTTATAGGTTGCAGCACTGCGTTAACCCAATCTACACACACATACAAACAGTTACAGTTCTGCCCAGTACAAGGTAGATCTATTTTCCCCCTGTTTTTCTAGGGTATCCACCACTGATAAATATGTAAACCTTCTATTTAAACCTTAAGAACAAAATTAATCGAATGCCTCCATTACTACTGATTTTCTTGTAAATTCTTGTGCTACATAATTACAACCTAAGATCCAATCCTATCTATCAAAAAAAACCTAGGATCCAATCCTGTGTCATCAAAATATACCCCATACCTATTTATGTACTTATGTGTATGCAAAAGGGTAAGAAAGGAAACTGTCTTAACATCTGCTGGGCTTTCCCCAAATCTGCCCTGGAATCACTCTTGTGTTAGCACATGGAGAGAATGAGCAACAAAGGCAAGAAGATTTGGTTTATGATTCCTAATGCCATTTTTTGGACAATTTTGCATGAGAGAAATAGCAGAATTTTGAAAGATTTTTCTGCTCAACCTGATAAAATTATCCAAAATACTGTGAGCAGAATCCTATCTTGGTGCTCAGTCTACAAGTTTCAAAATTCTAACCACTGCCACAATTTCATAGATCCCAATCTTTTTTTGTAATTAACACTTCACGCAATTATCTGTTGGAGATACTTACTGTACATATTTTGACTGTATTTTTGGGACCCCCTCTCCTTTTTTGGGTTATAATACAAATACCTTGCTCTTTCTCAAAAGAAAAAAAAAAAAACTGTCTTAATGTTTTGCTGATTGCCATGTTGACATGGCTACACCATCATTACATGGTCAAGGATGAAGCTCTTATGCTGCTTTTCTTTAGATGTATTTTGAAAATCAAATATTGTATTCCTATTGCTACCCTTATGAACCAACTGCATAACAGTACTTCCTTGTTCTTGTTTCATGGCCCTCGTGGTTAACTTTATAAGAAAACAATGCTATCTTATGAGGTGTTTTCTAGTATCTTGGAATCTTTCTGATAAATCATACATATATTTTAAATAACACAGGAAACTTCCACTGGAACTTGGAAGATGTTGCCAAGTCAATTGCTTGCATGATAATGTCTGGACCATGTCTCACTGGATACACACAGGTAGCTTTTCTCAATGATGTAAAATTCGTATTCTCTTTTCATTGGACTGCTCATACACCAGAATTAATACTAAGCTTATCAATTGGACTATATCATGTCTGCTTTTTTCATTCCTGTAGACAATTAATGATTGGTATGACCGAGAGATTGATGCAATCAATGAACCTTATCGTCCAATTCCTTCTGGAGCAATTTCTGAGAGTGAGGTGCGTATTTTGATTTAGTTGTCAATTACATCTGCATCTTCATACTCATATGACGTGTATCTGTAAGGAGGTGGAATTTTTGCTTGTTCTTAGATATTTCAATTATCGGCAAGTTCTGATTTGGCAAGATGACAATTCTTGGGAGTTAAGTTGATTTGGCATGCAAGTGTGTTTTTGTCATTTTAAGTTATTGGTAGTGGGTCTAATCTGTAGGAGTCATTTGTCTAGTCATTATTTGGTTAAATTCCAAGTTTCACAACCATAGGTTGAGTAGATAGGAAGTTATAATCTTATAGATGTTATTTTCTTATAGGGTTCAGTGGTGTTCCCATAATCATGGTGAAGGCGAACAGTAATGCTTTATCCTTCCCAAGATAGGGATCTTATCTGTAAGAAGTCGAATCCAATAAGGAGTATCCCTACCTCTTGTAATCTCCTATTTAAGGAGTGGGAATTAAAGAATAAAGGCATCAAATTTTTGGTCAAGAAAGGAGTAAGGAGAGTTAGGGTGATCTCTTGGACAAATCACCATTAGGGCGCCAAGATAGGTTCCTCAAGGAAAGGGAGGAACAAGGGAAAACAGGAGGTTCTCCCCGTGGACCGACCCGTGATGCGATCCTACGCCCGGGCCCATAACATCAACCAATCAGTTCTCCATACACACCATGTATGGGCAAAGAAAGGAGAAAAAAAGTCAAAAGTGAGAACCCGCTTTGATACCAAGTTGAAAATTACAATTACGGTAATTCAGATAATGCAAGAAAATAAGAAAAGAGAGAAAGAGAAAGAAGAAGAAAGAAGTTTCAGCAATAGGTTGTGGAAGAAGAAAAGAAGGGAAGAGAGAAAGGAAGAATTTGAACCTCTCTCTCTAGCCCCCATTCATCATTTTTATTATTAATTCTAAGTCTGAGTACAATTACTTGGATGCCCTTAGTGGGGCGGCCAGGCACTAAAGAAATAATTAAAGAAAATAAAAGAAGGCCCATAACTAAGAAACTTAACTTTTAAATACTACTTACAAAAAATAAAGAACACTAATTCGGCCCATTCTCACTACAACTTCATTACAAATACTCCTGCAAAATTTCTACTTAAAATTTCATCTGAAGCTTGAGTTATTGAGTTATTGAAGTTTCTTACTTTCTCTTGATAAAGTCTGAAATATCTGTTATTTCATACTAAAATCTCATTTAAACCTAATCACTTCGTCCTAAATACTCTAACCTTTTCTAATACCATATACCATCCATAATTCTCAGATAAATCCATTAAATTCTCAAAATAAAAAAGAAACCAACTAGTTTCTCAACTGAATTTTCACTTTGAATCTAACTTTAGAGCCCCTACCTTACTCAATTGTGGCTTCAACAGTTCAGGGCCTTCAGGTCCATGCAGAGCATTTATATGGAAAAGAGGTTGGTCCATCATCATCATCCATGCCTTATCCCAACTATATGGGGTCAGCTACATAAATCCTGTTTCACCAATCCATTCTATTTAAAGCCATATAAACTGATGGTCTTTTTTTTTTTTATCAGCAACACAAAAATTGATTCATTAGATTAAAAAGAGCATATGCAACAAGAAGTCCTCTGTTGGTGGTCTTCTATGCATGTGACCAAGCCATCATAGTCTTCTCTCTCTCTCTCTCTCTCTCTCTCTCTCCCTCTCTCTCATTTTATCACTTATTGAAGCTACTCCTAGGTTTCTACAGATGGCTTCATTCCTGGTCCTATCCCATCTTAGAATTCACATTTCTGCCATCCAGTTGAGAAGGTAATTACCTAAAAGCAGAACTCCTTTTTTTAGTTCAAGGTTTGAAAATTGGTCTCTCCTTGGGGCTAAATGACTCACATACATAAGGCGATTTTAGTTGTGAATGAATGGATGCTTTCGAATTCAACAAGCCTTTGGATGCTTTGGTGATGTAGGATGGAAAGGGGGAGTTCTGTGGTGGTCGTATGTGGTGTGTAACAAGGGGAATCAGATCTTAGATAGGGTAAGACCTCCAAAGAAGAATGCATACTTTGGCAATTTCATCTCATATTTGTTTTCTTTTCATGGGAAGTTACAGATCCACTATAAACGTGCTAATCTCGTGCACTTTTTTTGACAACATTTGGAGACATGCTTTATCTAGTGATAGGTGGAATCCTCCTACAACGTTGAACCATTATTCCAAATACAATGAAGAAAAGAGGAAATATATGTGGAGATGTGGCAGCCATATTGTAAATGATATTGGGGACAGGAAACATGAGAATTTTTTCAAACAAAACCAAATCTAAAGAGAATGTAATTGGTTTGATAAAAATCAAAGTTATTCATTGGCTGAAGACTTGGGAAGAATTCTTGTGTTTCATGGCTGACAATATTCTAAGAGGATGTGGTAAGTGGTGGCAGCATGGTTTTCAACAAGGGACATAAAGCAGAAGCATGGTACCACGGGTTCCTCCATTAAACTAGACGAAGTTTAATTTTTATAGGTCTAATGTTGGAAATCCTGGTGAACTGGGTGCATAAGGAACCTTCAGAGATCATAGAGGATACTTCCTCTTAGCCTACTCAGATCTGTAAGGTTAGGTATAAGAGCAGAATTCCATGAAGTGTGCTTCATGGTTTTAGGCTATTAATAACTCAGAATTGAGGTCCTTTATTATAGAAGGTGACCCAGAAACAATTGGATCTAATGCCATAAGCTTCTCTCTTAAGAGCCTGGATAATGGGGGCCTGTAACATGAAAAAGAAGAAGATATCTGTCAATGACCTTGTGGACTTCCTAAGTATAGAAGATCTTGGGAGGTGTTATTTGTTTTGGGAAGCTTCAAGGCTGGGGTTGTTGCCATCTTTGTTTGGTTGTTTTTTTTTTTTCTTTTATTTATTACCTTACACCTTTCAGTGTTCAAGTGTTTTGATTGTAAGCCATGTTTTGGATTTTTCTATTCATTTTCCATGCCTAGTAAGATCTCTTTTGATCATTGTTGCTGATCAAATACAACACAACAGATTATTTAGCTAAGCAAGGGGTGCATAGAGATCATCTATTTTGTAGTTGAGATTTGAGGCTGCACCTTGTACCTCTCTGTGGGAAGCTCATTATATAAGTTGTCATTTTTGAGTTTTTAATAAAATCGATCATTACTTATCAAAAACAGAAAAAAAAAACCACAACCATAAGGTCAAATAGAAGAGAATATTGTGCAGCTATTTTGTAGCCAATAGAGTAAATCTCCTATTTTTGGTCTGAGTCCTATGTTTGTAAGGTTGCATTGTGAAGTAGGGGTGAATTGGTTCTTCCTTCGGGTGATTTCTTATTACCTCTTCCTTATAATTTCTTCTTTTTTCTTGTTAATAAGATTTTTTGCTTTACTATAAAAAAAAACCCTGTAAAAGCGACATTGAGGTTACACATTGGGAATGCACAACAGATCTCAGATTGTCATGGTTAAATGGAAAGCACATCATTTATTACAGAAGCTTTTTTCTTTTCAGGTTATTATCCAGATTTGGTTGCTGCTTTTAGGAGGGCTTGGCTTGGCTGGTCTGTTAGATGTGTGGGTAGGTATTTTACATCAGTGGTACTTCTTCCAAAATTATCAACATGAAATTCTGTTCCTGATTTTTCAATGCCAATTAGGCAGGACATAACTTTCCTGTAGTCTTTTACCTTGCTGTGGGTGGATCCTTGTTGTCATACATATATTCTGCTCCGCCTCTAAAGGTAATGGGATTCTGTTTCTGTGGCATGTCAGTAAGACCATTGAAGTTTCTTAATAGTTGACGAAGAGAGCTTCTTAATGCTTTACTTTTTTCCTGATATGTTGCAGCTGAAGCAGAATGGATGGATTGGAAACTTTGCACTAGGAGCAAGCTATATCAGTTTGCCATGGTTTGATATCTGTTACTTTCTAGAAAATTGATAATGATAAATTCTGAAAATCTTTTGGTTGTACACCCAATATTTGATTCCATTCTTTATATTTGACCTTATAAAATGAAACTTAAGTTACCTATCATTCCGTCAAGGCCCCATCCAAAAGCCCCTTTATTAGGAGATTTCCTACATATGGAAAATGAAGAAGAAACCTAGACAGCATTTTCCACGACTAGTAAAAAAATCTCATTGTGGTTTCTCATTATGCTATTAATACATCACCCACATGGACTATATGCCAGTTATTTTGGTATTTCCTCAGTAATTTATCTATTCTTGAGCTGTTATATGCAAATATTATGAAATCTTGCTTTTGCTTGCTGAAATATTTTCCTTCAATCCATGAATCAACAGGTGGGCTGGTCAAGCTTTATTTGGGACTCTTACGCCTGACATTATTGTGCTTACACTCTTGTACAGCATAGCTGGGGTATGCTTTCATCTTAGACATTTGTGTTACCTAGCATGGGGCCTATTAGCATTGATGCAATTTTACATTTTTTCTCTGTGATCTAACATGGTTTAACATTTTCTTCATGTCAGTTAGGTATTGCCATTGTAAATGATTTCAAAAGCATTGAAGGAGATAGGGCATTGGGTCTGCAGGTCTTTTCTCTCTTTCTTATAATTGGAAACAGCAGTCACTAGTATTTTCAGAAGCAGTTGGTTTAGGTCTTATATAATCATGCTGTTTGAAACAGTCTCTTCCAGTGGCCTTTGGTGTTGATACTGCTAAATGGATCTGTGTTGGAGCCATTGATATTACTCAAATATCTGTTGCTGGTATGTTAGATTATTCCTTTTGAATGATATTTTAAATTATCTACTTGTTGATGTTGGCTTTCACCTAACCTAAAACTATAAAGATGATTTTCTTGTTGACAACACATGCACACTGCGAGTACCTCCTTTTATGGTGGCTGACATGGTATGTCAACACATAAAACGGTGGATTTGTAACCCCTAACATTTTTGGTGTTTTACCCAGTTAAGCCTGTAACCTGCCTCCAAGTAGCATGATAGTTGCTAGAGACATCTCCTTGAGGTATATGATTGTGTAGAAAGGTCTTGAACTCTGATAACAACTGTTGCTTGTCGAGACAGATGGTTCTTTATCAAGTCAACTAATTTGTAACTACATGCTTATTGTGGTTCTCAGACTTTTAACAACAATAAAAAATGATTCCCACAATCTTTTTTTTTTTTTTTTTGATATCACAAACCATAAAAAATCCCTCCTAGATCACTTTGTGAACTGTATTATACACCTCTCTATCCACCAAAGTCATAGTTGCTTCTTCCCTCTTATGGTATAACTCTATATGTTCACTGACTATAATCTTTGGTGACTTCTGCAGGTTATCTGCTAGGGTCTGGGAAACCTTATTATGCTTTAGCTCTACTTGCTTTGATAATCCCACAAGTGGTTTTTCAGGTAAAAGCATATTCCAATGAAGTTAGTATACCTGAGATTGAGATTTAATAGGATGGAATTCTGGAGAATGATTGCTGTAGCCAAACTCTAATGAGGATAAAGCTGAATTATGTTCCTTAGTCAAGACAAAATTGAGTCATGGAAATGCTATTCTAATTTGAGCTTATGGAATAACCTATCATATTTGTTGACTTTTAACGTTTTCCATCTTAGAGCTTTATGCTGTTTTAGCAGTTTAAGTATCCATTCCACTAGATTAAGCCAAAAGGAATACGAGTTGAGGTAGTAAGAAATGATTTGAAAGCCCATAATTTAGCAATATAGATGGCACCAAATAAAACAAAAAGGTGGAAGAGTATTTATGCAGTGGGACAGTATATTGTCTATTTCATTATAGTAATGTTAGCAATGTTTTATGCCTTCGCTATAAATTATGCTTGTGTCCCCCCTTTGTACAAAGACAGGGGAGCCTATTCTTATCATTGAACGTCAGCCGGCCTTCTTAATAAAAGTTGCTGTTATTGACAAAAAAAAAAAAGAAAAACAAAAACAAAAACATCAGCCGGCCTTCATTTTCCTTGTTGAATGATTTTTTTCAGGTACCATTTATTCTAAGAAAACCCGATAGTTCTTTGGTACCAATAGTTTCTAAGATTTCAAACCAGAAGTCATGAACATTCCATCATCATCGAGTCTCATAAGATTATCCATGTCAAAATCCACATTGTATTAGCAATTGATGCAAGAATCAGTAGTCTTACTTTAATCTTTGTGCTGATGATGAAGGTGGTTGATGTTTTTTATTATACATGCTAGGTGAAGCTGTCCTTTGATAATTGATATGATGGCTCTCCTAATAATGATACTTTTGTTAATATTGTTGCAGTTTCAATACTTTCTAAAGGATCCCATCAAGTATGATGTTAAATATCAGGTAAATATATCCTCGTCCCTCCTGTATTAATAGCATAATGAGAAACCGCAAGGAGGTTTTTTAGACTACCCACATGGACTCTGTTTTAAGGTCGCCCACTACTGGCGACTAGATTCGGAGTTGGGATTTCTACCCCACTAAAACTGTCCCAACACGGTTCTACTATGATCTGTGTCTGTACAAATAATGTTGGAAGTTAGAACGTCTTGGGATGGTTTTTTGTTGGGAGGAGATACGGTATCACGCCTAGACACGACGATTCAATTTTGGGTTTGATTTTGCAGGCTAGTGCACAGCCGTTCCTCGTCCTGGGTCTTTTAGTGACGGCTTTGGCAACAAGCCATTGATTTGCATAGACAGTGAGAGAGAGAGAGAGAGAGTTCAGTATCCATGTACGCGGAAAAAAAACCCCACGGCAAATGGATCAGTGACAAGAATGCGCAAAACTGGAACAGCGGATACGAGATACAGGCAAGTGAGCAATGTCTACATTTGCTGTAATGCCTGCGTCGGCCGTCTCGTAAGACTCTCTGTCCACCATCAAGTATATGCTATTTGGAAAATCCGCGTGAGATTGCATCTTCCATGTATGTTTTATTATGGGGAAACCACGCCAACAATTGTTCAATAGCACATTAATGATTTTTTTTCTTTCTTTCTTTTTATTGTTTGGTTATGTTCTGTGCTCTTAGCGACACCGCTGACTGCTCTATCTAGTTTACCATTCTCTTCCATCCTGAGGATTTCATGTGTCACTGTGTCAGCCAGAGTTGGTATCGGGACCCAACACTTCTGTTCAGCTTGTTACAGGCTGACTTTGTAGACTCAATTCCATTCTGATGCTGTTTGGATGAGCTATCCGAGTATCCAACACCCTAACCATCTCATTTCTCAATTAAGAAAGGGTTTGTGCATGATCTGGCACGAACGAGTAAGGCCCCTTCTAAGCAACGAGCATATCCACCTTGATAGATAGATAGACACTATTGTATTGATACCATTGTCCAGACTCCACGGCAGACACCATTGTTGGAGTTCACTTTTGCTTTTAGTGTCGATTTGCAGGGTTAAAAAAAATACCATGGTCTTAGATTTATTTATTGTTATGACACATCTAGATGGAGGAGAAATCGCCATCCACTTTTAAGTATTTCCACAGAGCGTGAGACTGGATTTGCTCCTCACACATTGCGCCTCACACCGACCTCACTGGTACATCCCACCATGCCCGTATTTATGTGTTATTATTTACGGGAGATATTCCCAATGCAATGCATGGTAGAGTGTCTTTGTGAGGTCGTTGTGAGGCGTCCTGTGTAAGGAGGAGATCCCAATCCACAGTGCGTGTTCTACATACGTCTCACAGGCACATCCCCCGTGCATTTGGAGCATCTCCCATATTTATTAGGGGGGATGTTCCAAATACATGGGGATGAGCCCGTGGTGTGCGCTCTCTGGGGCACCCAAAAAATCACATGAATCACGGCCTCGATAGATTGCTGCGGCCTCACTTAAGTGAGTTCAGATCTGCGCCCCACAATGTCCCACAACACATTCCTGCTGTGTATTGGGAACATCTCCCGATGATAATATTAGAACTGATGATGTTATCATCGGGAAATGTTTCCAATACATGGCAGGGATGTGATGTGGGACGTTGTGGGGCACCCCTATGTGGGACACAGATCTGAACTTCACTTAAGGTAGTGCCACATCAATATATGATAGGGCTATCAATGGGCCGGGTCCAATTCTAGGGATTCGGACTAGCTAGATCGATTCTAGTTCTAGAACTTGTCTTGGTGGGTTGGTTTCGGTTCCTCATATATTTTTCCGATTATTATTGGGTCGGAATTGGGTATATCATGTCCCAAATTGACCCTATATATAATTATTTGTATATATGTATTATTAAATATATAATGTATGATAATTATTAATTAATAAATTATATAGAGGTAATATTTAAACAAATCATGTCTAAAATAGTCATTTCGGTAGGGTTTTCATTCAAAACCCTACCAAAATGACATTCCCCCCTTCAGCTCTTTCAACTTCAATCATTTCTTATCAGACACTTCGATCATTTATTCTCAAAACCTAATGCCGACCATCATCCCTGATGGTCGACCACTATCATCGACACCAAACAGATAGTGAACTATCAATTGTAAAGCTTGGAACAATGAAAAGCAAGGCCAACACCAAATAGAGAAAGGCAGCCAGCGATGCCATCCACCATCCCTATTGATTGTGCGTGATCTAGATGCTCTTAGTTGGAAGACAGCTTGGATGTCGGTTCTTAGCTAGTCGGTCGAACTGCAAGAGAAAGGATCAGAGAGTCCGTGGTGGCTAACCCTGTGAGGCCGCTCCGATGCTTAAGTTAGTACTTAGTGGTGAATTGCGAGCTGGAAATCAGTAATCTTGAGAGCTAGAATGCACTTAGTCGTGCTTACCTGGGTATTGAGGGTTGATGCTTTTATATAGCTTAGCTACCGTGAGCCTCAAGGAACCTCTTCGAGATCTTCAGATTGAGTAGGAGCCCATTCTGCTTTGGAAGGTGACCAACGTGCTAGTTGATAAGGCTTAGTGTTCACCCGAATCGGGCGGGACGAGGATAAGACTTACGATTGCATGACATGATCTCGGACGGTTCAGAGGCAACTAGCGGGCTTCTAGAATCTGCTATGTGTCATCTTCGATAGATTTGGTCAGCTGAGGTACCCAAACCTCGGTGCTATCCAAGGTGACCAGGGCACCCGAGGTGACTTAATTCGCTGAGGTGGCGAGAGGTGTCGAATCATCATCTAGTTGGCAGGTCACGTCCACGTGTCCTCAACTTATCAAATCAGGCCAAATCACCCCTCATCACTCGCCATCCGTTTATGTGACATCCAGTCCATTTGCCATCCCTGTCCATCCATTTAATAGCTCTTGATGAATTTCAAATTTTTAATACTATTTCTGCTCATAGTTCTTGATGAATTTCAAAATTTTAATACGATTTTTGCTCATTCTTGATGAATTTCAAATTTTTAATACCATTTCTCTAATTTCAAATTTTTGTAGCCTTTTTAGCAGGATTTTCGTGGTGTTATTGTCTTGATTATTATAATATGGTCCATCGGGTTGGACCCGATAGTCCCAAGAACCGATGGATTCAGTTTTAGGTCCAAAATTACATAGTCAATTCCGGGTTCTCTTATTGGTTTTTAGACTGGTTCTACCTGATTTCAATGCAGAACCAACCCGTTGACAGGCCTAAATACATCAGCGGTGGTTGATAGGCCCAATCTTGGAGAAAAAAAATTGTATTGAATCTTAGAAATTTTATTTTCAAGCTGACGTTATGAGTTGGTATCTATCTATCTATAAATTAAAAAAGGTTTTCAGGCTACAACCCCCACCATTAAGAGACGTGGCCTTTTCATTTTTTTAGAAATCTAGACACGTGGCATTTTCTGAAAAGCTGCTATTAAAGCTCACAACCCACTACCACCATTCAGATAAGTGACATTCTCATTTTTTGAAAAGCTAGGCACGTGACAATTTTTGAGAAATTCCTGCTAAAACCCACAACCCACTACCACCATTCAAATAAGTAGCCTTCTCATTTTTTGAAAAGCTAGGCACATGGCAATTTTTGAGAAATTCCTACTAAAGCCCACAACCCACTACTAGGCTATAGCCCCCCACCATTTAGACATATGGCCTTTTAATTTTTTGGAAAGCTAACCACCTTACATTTTTTGAGAAATTACTACTAAAGCCCATAACCCACTACCACCATTCAAACATGTGACATCCTATTAATTCAAGAAATAGGATTAATAATTTCACTCCTAAACAATCTCGATATACAGTTATTTATTATCTTAAGTCTATTAAATGCAAATGGTGACGTTATGACTTATGACTTGTGACTTATGACTTGTTATTTATTATCTTAATTTCAAGTTGACGTTATGACTTATGACTTGTGGTTCCAAGCTGACGCATAACTTGGTTACGTAAGTGGGAGTGCTTGCGTGCTTCATGGAATGAGCAAAGAGAACGCTGGAAGCCCTGAACATATCTACCTTTCCCTTCGATGTTCGATCTGGTCATCGACTCACCGCTGCTCTTCACTCACGTCCTGGCTGTCCTACACTCCTACTCACTTACTCAGGACTCAGGAGTCCAAAGCATAGAAAGGAAGACCCCTTTCAAACTATCTCCCAGGATCCTTGCTCCGTTGTTACGGTTCAGCACAGGCTTAGCCTTGCCTACGCTTGGCAGGCTTACGTTAGGGACATGCCCGTCATTTTCGCCTGTAAGATTTTTGGGAGAACTGATGTCATCTTCAGGCAGACCACCAGAAGCTTAACGTACTCTTTGAGGAGGGGTGGTC